TTGTTTAATTTGGTTAAATGGATCTTCAGTTATCGTCAGTTTGTGTTCTATTGCAGATACTGTCAAACTACATCTTAAAGGAGAACTGCAATCTTCTGTCAGAAGCTATTGCTAAAAGGAAGGAAAACTAGCTCATTTGATATGATCCCGTGACCAACTTTGGATCCTTTTACAAAGGCATGCTATTTCCTATCTCTATAAGGGAAAGGTTTAATTCTATTACATTTATTAACTTCGAAACCGTTTAAGTTATTGTTTAAAAATCCCTCCATTTAAACTATACATATTAAAATTATGAAACTCTCATGTTATCTCATGTGAAACCATGTTTGATAATGTGACCTACTTCGTAACCGGTTGGATTTAGCGATTCATGAATTTCTGAAAAAGAAGAAATGAATAAAAAAAATAATGTTGCAGACAGCAAGTTTACAAGTTACCAGTACTTGGTAGCATTACTATTGTAAATGGAGACTTTTTAGAATTTATTGTGTTTAAAGATTACTTTTTTTCGTTCCTCATTCCGCATAAACAGGTAATAAGAAAAGAATTGACGAGGACTTCTCTTCCGATGACGGATATTGAGGTTAGGACGTCTGGAATGTAGGATAATAATGCATTATCATTGCCTTGTAGGATTGAAACCGGGAAATTTTTTAAGGTTCGAGGATGGTGTGATTTTATATGCTTTTAAGATGGTCACCATGCAAAGCTTGGTGCAAGTGGGAATGCTGTCATTATTGGCAACAGATGCCTCAATGTCACACATTGCAAAGTAATATCAAATGGAAATTTCACACTATAAAACAATAAAAAGTAGAATTTGGTTTGATTTCATGGATGAAATTAGGGTTCATGGGTCTCGTGGATGTCCAAGAAACATCTTTCTTTCTCTGTGTAATTTTGCAGGAATATATCATGGTCTGGAAGGTTTTTTTTTTTATCATAGGATGAGCCCTGAAACTCTGAATCCATGCATGTAATCGGGGGAATGTCTCGGCGTCGAATATTTTGACATCAACTATTTCTTCAATGACACCAAAAGAGGTTGCCATCCACCCCATGGCCAAATCCAACATCCCAATCTCTTCACCACCAAAACACTTCTTCTCCCCAAGCACTTGTTATTCATAAATCTTTAGTAACCCATTTACTTCCTTGGCTGCCTTCTTGTGTTCCTCCCCAACCCCAATGAAGAATGTCACGAACGGGGCTACCTTCAAATTTCAAAAACAAATGATGAATACTAATTGAATCCCGGATTTTATTTCTGTTGATTTACGCAGTCACGATGAGTTCAGGTCGAATTACCTTATCCTTGTCGTCAAGGAAGTTGATCCAGAACCGTGCCATGGCACTAGGGTTGCACAGAAGTCGGATTTCAATCAGATCCGGATCGGTTTTTATCCGATCCGGTTTTTTCCCATAGAAAAAAACCGGTTTATAAAATAACCGATTCGATTTCTAACCGGTTTGGAGGGCCGGATATCCTAACCGGTGTAAGCGGTTTCGGTTTTAAAAAAACCGGTTATAAAAAAACCGATTTTAATATTATTAAAATTACATCGTCATCAATTGCAACAAAGTTTACGATAATTTGTTGAAAACATTTTGATATTTCGATATAACAAATTAAATTAAATGAATTTTAAGATTTTCCAAATGATTTTCTAAGTATATTCGATATAATTATTCGAATATCAAAACATTACTCCAAATATTTTAAAAATCATTTTTAATCCTTACTTAAGTGTAAAATTAAATTTTAATCTTAAAACAATTTCAAAATAATCTTTCAAAGTATTTCGAACCATTTTTAAAGCCAAAAATTCCAGATTGCTCAGAGGAAACCGATTCCCCCCCAAGGGGGTACCGATTCCCCCCTGAATGGTTTGGCTCCGAGATTTCCAGAATGCTCGGAGGGAACCGATTACCCCATAAGGGGTACCGATTCCCTCTATTCAACGGTCGAAATATTTTAATTTTACACTTAGGGAACTGATTCCCTATGAGAGGGTACCGATTCCCCCCACGCTCCAAGCATTTTTATTAAATGTTTTCACACTTAAACGGCTATATTATATTCATTAATTATCCCTAACGTTCAGAAGTGATTCAAGGTGTATTTAAGCAAGCTTAGAAGCCATTGATCAAAGACAAGAAACATCAAACAACTAGAATCAAGAGAGAATCAAAGAGAAAGCATCAAACCTCAAGTTTGAGCATTTCAAGCCTATTTTCATTAAATATTCATTTTGCTTTCAAGAACACATATTGTGCTCAATTGTATTCATCTTTGAGTGTTCTTTTCTTTGTTCTAGAATTGTGCAAACAATCTACCTTGTGAGGATTTCCTTGTAAGTTTGCAAATTTGTATTGTTCTCTTTGGGAGAGAGTTTTCTCAAGAATTTGGGGTATAATTCTTGAGGGTTTGTAAGGTTACTCTTTGTCCTCAAAAGAAAGACAAATTAGTGAATTTGTGGAAAATCCTTAGTGTGGATAGCTAAGGTAGTGGACGTAGACTTTGATTGAGAAAGTCGAACAACTTTAAATCGTTGTGCAAATCTTTTCAATTTTCTGCAAAAGCTTCCACCAAAATTTTAATTGTCAATTCACCCCCTCTTGGCCGATTCCGTCGATCAATTAACTCAACATAATTGAAATACTTAAATACTTCCAAGTTTGATAAATTCAAATACTTAAAAACTTACAAGTTCGATAAATTCAAATACTTAAAAACTTCAAGTTCGATAATTGAAACAAAGTTTACGATAATTGAAATAAAGTTTAAAAATAAACTACATTGCCATCTCTTCTTCATCATCTTCGCCTTCTTCGTTTGGAGGGGATATTCCAAGTTCGACTTCTTCAATGTCTAAGTTTGCTTCCAAATCGGCATCAATTGCATCTTCTAGGGTGGTGATATGTTGCTTACGAGCCGCTCCATCCAAATAATCCTTTAAACAAATGCATACTTCCACCGACTCGGGACTTAGTCTTGATCTCCGTTGCGATATAACCCTGCCACTAACAGAAAAAGCGGATTCCGAAGCTACCGTAGAAGCTTGGACGGTTAGTAAATCACGGGCCATGGCGGCTAGAATCGGAAATTGTGCTTCCTTTTCTTTCCACCAAGCCAAAATATCCAAACTTTCAAACTCTTCAAATGTCATTTTTAATAGAAAATCGCATGACATGTAATTTTTCAACTCGCTACTTGGGGTGGTAGTACGTGATCGTTTGGATTGAGAATTTACAAGAGTGTTAAAAAGATTCAAATTTATGTTACTTGGACGTCTACTAGATGATTCCGCATTCATTCTCATTTGATCGTGTATTACACTACTTGATCCGTATTTAGTTAAATAAATTGCAAACATGTCTCGAAAACATTTGTTAAAATAATTTATTTGGTTTTGGACAAAGTTGGGTTCATCATCGGTTAGATTAAAAGCAAACGCAATTTGTTCAATTAGTGTTTCAACCCTGCCAACATTTAACGTTGGGTTTAAAACGGCGGCACAAGTAAAAATGGGGGAATCTCCTTAAAATATTTTAAAAGTTTTTCCTTCATTGCAAAGCCAATTTCTTGAAAAACTTCGGTTTCAAATTCAAAGTCATTTAGTCGGGTAGCCAACAAAAATATTTGATTAAGAACCAACGTGCTAGTAGGGTAATAAACACCGGATAAAAAAGTTGTTGCATTTTTAAAAATCCCAAGTAAATCGGTTATTTTGGCTATAGTTTCCCAACTCGAATACGGATAAATGTTTGGGACATGACCCCTCTCGAAAAGCCGATCGTGAAATGTTTGCAATGTTTCCCTTTGCCTTAAGGCAGTATGCATCATCATCCAAATTGAGTTCCAACGAGTTGGACAATCCAAATTAAGACCCAAAGCTTTTTTATTAACGGACTTACAAAATCGTTTATAATCATTTAGTCTTTTGTTGTTACAAAGAACCGATTTTATCATTGTTTTAAATTCTAATCTAATCGGCTCAATAACCTCCAAACCGGCTTGCACGGATAAATTAATTATGTGTGCAACGCAACGGGTATGAAAAAACGCACCGTCTAAAATCGGTGAAAGTAATATTTTCAATATTGGAACCGCGTTTGTATTATTCGATGCATTATCAAAGGATATAGAAAAAACTTTATTTTCTAATTTATAAAGACAAATTACCCTTTTTAAAAGTGTAAACCCAGACCGGTTTTTTTCAGGATAAAAACCGGTTTTTTATCCGGTAAAAAAACCGGTCTTGGTTTTTTTCTCCAAACCGGTTAAAATAACCGGTTTAAAAAAATCCGATCCGGTTAAAAAAACCGGTTTTTCCCAAATCCGGTTTCGGATATTTTTTTCGCAAAATCGGATATTCGAATTTTTTGAACACCCCTACATGTCACTTTCATAAGGATCCTTAGGAAGCAAAGCATGCCGAGGTCATGTCTCGTCAATGTATTAGAGAATAACAGCCGATTCTGCAATTGGTTTCCCATTGTGAACAAGAACTGGGATCTTCTTATGAACTGGATTATACTTCAGCAGCATATCACTCTTGTTAAACAAATCTTCATCTATGTATTCGTACTCTACACCCTTTAGTTCCAGGGCCCATTCGAACCCTGAAACCATATGGACTTGGCCAAGACCCTAAAACTTTCACTTCTTCCATTTTAAGTTGAAATCTTTATATGCTTTTGCTTCCCTGCCATGTCAAAGCTCACGTATTTATAGACTTTCTCTTCTCATTGACGGTCCATGTTTTGGCTTTGAAATTTCTTAGACGACAGACCTTTCTTTCCCAGATTTTTTGACAAATTGTAATATGCATGTTTCCATTACACTTCCTATGCAATTTTTCAAAGCTTTTATGAAACGAAGATTTGTCAAATTACAGCTGCAACTTCGTTCAAGCTTCCTAAAAAATGGGCTCGAACCCATAAAGATGGATCCATTCTGGTTCTGATCCAAAAAGTATCATGGGGAACTCACAATGGCAGCAATAGGCAGGCGTGGCAGTTTATTGATCACATCTCTCCAGGGAACACCAATGTTAACTGTAGGTAACAAAAGAATGTAACGAACCAGACCAACAAAGCTCCAGGTAGCTGTCCGGCCGTGGCTTCCATGGCACAGTTTTGTTACATTCTTGGTCCCTCAAACCTTAGACTAAAGCACAGCAGTTTCAGATTTTGCTTCCAAAGTCCTATTTATAGAAAGAATGCACTCTCTTTTATCTGTACAAAATTCCATGCAAAGCCACCATTGCTGTCTTCTTCCATCGTTTGTTCAGCTGCTAATAAGCCCTCTTCCTCCTCAGAAATTAGGTGCTCTTCTCAGTTCTCTCCCATTAATTGTATTCTTCCATGGATTTTTACTTGCTTTTTAGTTATTTAATGCCTTTTGTTCTCAGTTCTGATGCGAGGATAAGGAGTGAAGTTCTATCTCCCTTTCGGTCCCTGCGGATGTTCTTCTACCTCGCGTTCATCGCCAGTGGTGCGTTGGGAGGATTAATCGCCACCACACAGTTAATTGCTTCCCTCACCAATCCGGCGAGATCATCCGAAGTCCCTGATACTTTAACGACTCTCGGCATCGACGTCGGAGCGGTATCCGTCTTTGCATTTCTGTATTTCAGGGAGAACACTGCCAAGAACCGGCAACTAGCCAGACTATCAAGAGAAGAAAGCCTTTCCAATCTTAAGCTCCGAGTGAATGAAAATAAGATCATTCCGGTCAGCAGTTTGAGAGGAATTGCTCGTCTCGTGATATGTTCCGGCCCTGCATCTTTCATCCTAGAGTCATTTAAACTTAGTGAGCCATTCACTGAAAGGCTTCTGGAAAGAGGGGTGCTGGTGGTTCCTTTCGCTACGGATGGGAATTCGCCTGGTTTCGACTTCGATGAGAGTGAAGACATGAAGGATATCACTGCAAAAAGAAAGAAGCTTTGGCAGTTGAACCCGGTTTATGTGCCCGAGTGGACCGAGTAAGATTATGTTTTGTGCAATGATCGATATATGTTTGTAGTTCTCATGTTCTCTCTGGCTTATCTGATATACATTTGTTTAAACTTCAAATGCAGGTGGTTGAATGAACAAAAGAAGTTGGCTGGTGTTTCCCCTGAATCTCCTGTGTAAGAGTTCCTCCACCTTACTATATTCTTCTCATTCGGTGATACCGGAACATAAAGCTACATGCCTTCTATAACCTTTCGAACAAATGCTTAGAAAACCTTTATAGAAATCCCCGTGCAAGTCAAATTTACTTGTGTGGTGTTCATTATACAGCTATTTATCTCTGCGCTTGGATGGTCGGGTGCGTGGAAGTGGCGTTGGTTACCCTCCTTGGAATGCTCTTGTTGCTCAGTTGCCACCGGTAAAGGGGCTATGGTCAGGTCTTCTCGATGGAATGGATGGAAGAGTTCTTTGAAAGGAAGGTTAGTTTACCTTCTATATGATTCAAGTTTATAGGTTTTCATGCAGTTGCAGTATGTAATATGTACTAATTTATTCTTTAATTAACACAGACACATATATATATTGTTCATATTGTAATTGAATTCTGTTTAAGATGATTTGGGTTTAGTTTCTTGTCGGGTTTTTGTTCAACAAGGAATGAGATGATGAAACAAGGATAGTATAAATTATTCTTGATAAAACAATGGAATAGTTTGCAGTATTGTCTGAATGTTGTCATTTTTTGCCTCCTCTAAATCTCTAATTACTGAGTTTAGTTGTGACAACGCCGATCATTTTCCGGAACGGTTTCCACTTTGTAAAACTACACAAAACTGAAAGAAACAGGAAGGGTTCGTATCTTTGATTATGAATATTTTTCTTGATTATCTGAGAATACAATATGAATAGCTACTGAGAAGCTTTCTAAATGTTCATTTTTCTCTTTGGTCTCATCTTATGTTCTTGCTCATGTAATGACTGTAAGGAATATAGGACTGATCGCAAATGCGAACAGTCGACCAGCATCAGGTTAATTAACAATTTTGGATTCCTTTCCCTTCCTTCTAGTTCTTTAGTACAGATCTTACAGGGTTCTGCTTCATCTATGTATCCCAGAACAACATTATGTATACCCTCCTGTCTCATCTAGTGATCACTACTTTTCTTTTGTAAGCAAGCAGAGTGAGAAACCAAGAGGAACCTAGCTATACTGCCTGCGGTAGCTCGTCGAGTAGTTATGGTTACATTGGGTTATGCCATGAACCTTGATATAAAAAAATGGTAACATGATTCGGAGGGGACTCGGCTGTTATGATAATAAAACGAATCTAACAGGTCCTTTGATCGATTTTACATCGATTCGAATCGGAAATTTTGTTCAAACATTGTTTACATACACTCAAAACTGAGTCTGGCAGGTGATCTGTTCTTATACATTAGTTAAACTGCTAGCTTTGAGACCCGACATGATGCATCTTCAAGCAGTAAGGAACCGTGCTAAATATTATATTATCAGAAAATCCGACACATCTTTGAATATATGAATGTCGAACATATTTTAATATTCAACACTCGCTTTCAAATCGGACTTACATATGTGAAGCTCTGATGGTACTGTGGCAACAACTGGAGGATGTAGAGAGAGAGAGAATATGATAATTTTGTACACTTTCTTGGCAGAAACAAGTTTAAAGCTAGAGATGGGGGAAGTCTTAAAAAACAATCATGCATACATACATACATACATACATACACATGATAACTGAAAAACTAAAAATATTGCAAAATGCCACAGTAACTCATTTAACTTCTTCAATTTCATCCAGACCGTAGTTTTTGGTGGATACATTGGCGTAATTCACTTTGTTGAATCGAACCACAACCGGGTACCGAGTCTTGGGATCGTGCACCAAAATCAACATAAAAAGGTGGACGTAAAATTTTATCGTTTTCTCGAAGAAACATATGATATGCACATGAAGAAAGAACAAAGGGTGACCTGGTCAAATGTCACAACTGATCCATAGCTGTTGTACCAGTAGGACTCGCTCCTTAGAATCTTCAACTATGACATCAAAAACCAATTCAAAACCTATAGCAAAGGGCAACACTCTATCAACCCTAAACTTGAAATGATCCAAAATAAAGATAAAACTATAATATATTGTGTTCAAGCTATTAGACGGACTGTATATGAAGTTGGAGGTGGCAAACGTTGGTACCTCTTTTTGGTCCGATTGGAGGTGGCTTAGGGGCTTCGCCGCCTTCCGTGGTGGTTTCTGGGGTTGGGGACGGTGGCGAAGCCTCCTCCTCAGCTGCCCTCACAACAAGTCTTGAATTGGTGTTGCTCTTTGAAGGGAAAAACACTATGTTAGTGTTGGTCTTGGTAGCTGAGCTTGAAATATTGGGTGTTAACAAGAACCTTGAAGCAGCCGATGCCCTGCTGGAGCAGCTAGCCATGTCTTCTTCACTCTTCTGGCGGAAGAATTGTTAAAGAGAGATTGAGAGGCGTTGGATGAATACGATTTTCCCTTGTTTTTCTTTGGCTCCCAGAATTATCTCATCTTGAGAAACTGGACTAAATCGTTTCCTCCACTAGGGAGCTGCCACGTATGCACCATATCTCTTTTGCATGTATAATATGATCACAACTCATCCTTTCACCACATATGAATATACCCATGCTATAGGTCTTTTGTCTACTATAATATCCCTTAAACTGATTTTTGGATTAAATATTAAAACTATTAAAAGATTAATTTTGGTGTATTGACAATATACATTTTATGCATTATTAATGAATTAGATATTCAAATATCATTATATTAAAATAAAATTTTACATTTATAATATTTTTTTTTTTGGATAAGTAGAATTTTATTACCCAAATAGAAAAGGTTCAAAACATACATCAATCAACCCAAATGGGAGTAAAAACACATATTTACCAGAGTTAGTCTATACCCCAATAATTACAAAGTCTATAATTAACATAGTCTATTCTATTAAAACCCTTGTCACTGATTTTGTTTCAAACAAGCTCTTTTATAGCCTTGAGAAGTTGCTCTGTTGTTCTTATACCTCTGTTGAATAATCTTCTGTTTCTCTCCTCCCAAAGATATAAGGTTAGGCAACAGCTGATTCATTCTTTTGACAAGGATTTTAGTTATAGTTTTGTAGACTACAAAACAACAAGAGATAGGTCTAAAGTCCCTAACTGTGCTAGGATTTTGGGTTTTAGGGATCAAGACAATGATGGTGGAATTAAAAGCAGGATGGATATGGGACTCTTGAAAGAAGTATTTGACAGCATCAACAAAATCATCCCCTATGACAGACCAGGAATGTTTGAAAAAAAGAGGAGTGAAACCATCAGGACCAGGAGCTTTGTCATTACCTTGGTTAAATAAAGCTTCTTTGATTTCATCAGTAGTGACATTTTTAATCGGATCAGTAGTAACCTCAGTAGGCAGATGGATTTGAAGCAAGTTTCTCATGGTAAAAGGGTCAGGAGGTTGAACTTTAGGATCAGTTTCGCCTAGTTGATGATGAAAGAAATCAATAATTTCATTAGCCATATCATCGTAAGTCTTCAGCCTTTTACCCTCGTTATTAATAAGAATCCTAATGGTGTCTCTTTTATTTTTAGAGGCTAAGGCAGAATGAAAAAGTTTGGTACATTTATCTCCTTCTTTAATCCATTGAACTTTCGCTTTTTGTTTAAGGAACATGTACTCAGTATCCTCTAAATCATTTAGCTCCTTTTGAACATCCAATTCTTTAACTAAAGAATTGTTTCCATTAAGAGTTGAAATCTGAATTTGTTCTAGTTCTTTCTTTTTAAGCCTTACTCTAACAGAGATATCACTATAGTTATCCTTGTTGAGCTTCTGCAAGCAAGGTTTTAAGCGTTTAAGCTTGAGAAACAACTTCATCATAGGATTTCCTTGGGAAGGTTGTTGCCAGGAATGGAGGACATGTTCGAGGAAATTAGGATGCTTAGACCAAAAATTGAAAAATTTAAAAGGCTTAGGCCTATTGGTTTGAGTCTCTTTGTTGATCCAGGCAAGAGCCATACAGTGATCTGAACGACCTGAGGCTGTAAATTTGACAAAAGAATTCTGAAATGAAACAACCCAATGTGTGTTAATCAACACTCTATCAAGCTTCCTAGCAAGATACGAATCTTTTTGTTTATTGCTCCAAGTATAGATAGGGCCAAAGAAAGGGTGATCATAAAGGGAAAGATCTTGAACCAATTCTTGAAAATCAGTCATTTCAGAGGAAGAATAAGGTCCTAGGAGAAGAGAATCAGAGCTTTCTTTATGGTGAAGATAGGTATTAAAGTCACCTCCAAGAATCCAAGGGAGTGATCCAAACCTAGTATTAAGGTTTTTGAGGTGTTGCCAAAGAAATCTTCTAGAAGATCCACTATTACTACGGTAGATTGCAGTGATAATAAATTGAGTATTATTAAAAATACAATTAGCAGTAATGCTTTGATCAGTAGAATGACAGAGAGAAATATCAATTCCTTTTTTCCACATAAACCAAATTCTACCATTAATAGCAGAATCATAATTGGTGAGAACATTCCAACTCCCTAAAGTAGTATTGAAGATTTTTGCGGAATTTTCAGGTTTTACTCGAGTTTCTAACAAACAAAGAACATCAACTTTGAATAGATTAGCATGGTTCAGAACTTTTTTCTGTTTTTGAGGGTTATTGAAACCCCTTGTATTCCAAAAACAAATTATCATTGGGAAATTGAGGATGAAGAACCCTCTGAATTTCCTTCTGAGGTACGTTTTACTTGTTGGGTTTGTTCTTTCTTTTTTGACTTTATCTCTTTGATTAATTTAGCAACTCCAGCAGCAGCTGGCCTTGTTTTCTTTACTGGCAGCTCGTTTAATGATGAATTTTCTTCAACTGTTGATAGAATTTCGAACCTATTTGCTGAGCCTCTTAAAGCTGATTTAGCTTTAATCTTTAAAGGCCTACCTCTTCCTCTTTTAGGATTTGAATTTGAAGGAGTATCATTAGAAATGGGTGCAGATTCATGAGTAACATCGTTAACTAATTCTACTCCAAGATTCTCCTCGTTCAAGATTTTATGATGTTGATTAGAGGATTCGGCATGAACAGGTTGCTCCTTTAGGAAAGGTTCTGGTTCTGTTATTGAATTGTTATCAGCAGAGTTAACAATTTCCTTTGAGGAGGAAGAGTCAGGCAGAGCAACCTTCAAGGATTCTAATTTTCAGTTTTATGATTAGCATTATCAATGAAATGTGTCTTTTTTCTCCAGATTTTAAGTCGTGGAGGGGCAGGATTTGTTTTGTTCATGCATTCTTTATCAGAATGGCCAAATGTACTACATTTCCTGCATCTATAAGGGAACCAAGGAACTTCGACAAAGATTGTGGAAGTTTTGCCGTTAGCAAGAATAACTTCGACAGTTTCAAGAATGTCTTCATTTGCTTCTATTTCGATGCATACCTTAGCATATTCAAGCCTAGTTTTCGATGCAGTAATAGAGTCCATAGTTAATGGAATTCCTAGAGCACTGGCTATGTAACTAAGGCCTTCTCTAGAGTATAGTTCTAATGGAATATTATATAAATGTATCCATAGAGGCATCTGGAAAGATCAAAGTTCAGTCTTTGCATATTGGGTTCCCACTTTTGAAGGATTAGAGGTTTGTTGAGAATATGCCACGAGCCATTCTCAAGAACCCAATCCCTAGCAACATCAGAATTGAAAGAGAAAGTATAGAGATTTTTACCTGCGAGACTTACCTGCGCGAGCTCCTGTCGAAGTCTGGTTCCAGAGTTTATCGATGGTTCGTTGGAGGGAGATGAAATTTGGAGCAGCCCCTAAGAACTGACACACCAGAGAATTTCTCCACTCAGTCGTACCAGCCTCTAGGACCTCAAGGGGAGGTTGAACAGTTAGGGATTTATCGCTCTTTTCTGGTGGAAAATAGTCAAGTTCGTGCCCTGCTTGACACCCGAAAAGTTTACGCCAATCCATTACTCTTTGATGAGGAATGGGAAATGATAGATAGACGAATCGCACTGAAAAACAGACTGAATCGCCGACGACGGGACGAGAATCGGTGGGTTCGATAGACCTGCTATCGTGCGCCCGGAGAGTATCGTATCGTGCGCCTCAACGGTTATTTTCAATACTTACTTTATGTGCTCTTTTATATAATATATTATTATTCAGTTAATTATCATACATAAAATTACACGTCATCAATGTATCAAATTTCCATATATTATTAATCTAAAAAATGGATAGAGTAAAGATATTCATGTTTTGGCATAGACTTGCATGAATATTATATAATGGGTCAAGATTAATTTGAAATATGAATTTTCAAATAAATAAATTTTTTCATTATAATCAAATTTTATTAAATAGATATAAATCATATTTATTAATTTAATTTATAAAATTTCAAATATTTTGTATAATAAATTTTAAAAAATCTTTTATATTTTACTTCTAAAATTTGTATCACTATAGTTAATTTCCAAAATTATATAAAAAATTAAAACAATTTTCTGGATGTATGGTGCACTTCCTCTCACGCGCCATTTAGGCGCCAAAACTTCAGTTTCTTTTCCGCAAACAACGGTCATGGTTCATCACCAATTTCAGTTTCCCAATCCAATCCTCATCCAAACAAAGCTAGGGCTTTTGGTTTTACCCAATCCCAGAAATCCAATAACAAAAGAAAGAACTTGGATCAAATGAAGAGAAGATATCAAGAAATTTACCCCCGAAGATCAGTATCCGATTTGAATTTCATCTCCTGCAGCTCATCCCAAAGTTAGGAGCTCCCTAACCCTATCCGATTCCCGATCAAATCGAGGTTGTTTTCCCCCTGTTGTTTGTTTCCCATTGATTCATTTATTAAACGAAGGTCGAGTCTAATTTGAGCTTATCTGTATCTTCTTTCTCAAATTCGAGCTCGCCCTGTTTAATTCTCTACCAGCTCTTGTTCGTTTGGACATAAAATATTTTCCTGTATAAAATTTCCTTCCAAAAGCCTAATTTGTTGGAATTCAATTAGATTACCTGTTCTTTTCCTTTTTGCTTGCACCTGTGTACTAAGTGTTTAAAGAATTTTGTTTTTACGATGGTTGCTAAAACTTCTGAGTTTGCGTTTTTCAAGAAACTGAAGAAAGATGCGGGCCAAAGATTTGATTTGCGAATTCCAGCGAATGCTGTAGAGTAGTAGGTAGGTTTAAGTCAGGTATTGCCCTTTAACTGAAATTGACTGATATCACATTCATTTTGTTCGGTGCATTAAATTCCTTGTTTCTCGCTTAACAATTATGATATTTTCTTCCTTATTGGCAGAGGGGACTAGAATAGTTAGGAACCTCTCTATGTCCTCAGAAGGGACCAACATTACTAAAAATCGCTCAAAGGACTTTGGGTCCTCGTCTGTCAGAAATGCTAGCTCAAAGGAGTTGGGGTCGCAGTCGTCCACTGAAAAAGTTGTCTCTGAGGACTCAAGATCACCGTTGCCCATTAACAGTGTGACAGATATCAACTTAGATTCATTTCCCTCACCAATTGACAGAGCAGTGAATAACTTGGATATGCGCTGTAAAGTGGATTCTTCGGTTCTTGTTTGTATCAATCTCTTGTTTCACTGACTGCTATATTTATATTTTAACAACTGCTATATTTTATCTTCCTACATTTTTTAGTATTGTCCTGGTATCAATCCAAAGTTCCCAACTTTTACTGTCCATGATCAATCCCCAGTTGAAACTCATTAGTTAAATTTCTCATGTCCCTACGAAGCCAAAATTGTGAATTTTTCTTGCAAGGTTGTTCTTGACAGAGGTAAATTTAAAGACTGCGTTTTCAGCTGTCGAGCCTATATTGAGCATAGAAGATTGGTTAGAGCATCATAGTGACAACAAGAAACCAGGAGGTAGAAATACTTTTACAATACTTTTACAATACTTTTACTCTAATATGAAAGTTAAGGACGTAAAGAGGGGAAAATGGATATATGGCAATGCTGCATATTGGTTTGACCTTGGACTTTCAAACTGTACAGAAAAAACTCACGAAAACGTCATCTGCTGTTTGAAATGATAATAGTCATTTGCTAAAACTTCATGAAATAAAATCAAGTAGTTTCAACTTTCAGGGTCTTATTCTGATCAAAAGGAATTATTTTCTAGAAAGTGACGGAAACTCCTTCAATGGGCTTGTAACTCATTTCTTGTGATAGCGGAACTCCATTCCAGGGGGTTAGACTTGTCATTACAAAAAGCTAATTTTATTTTTTCACAATTCATATCATGCACTGAGTAGATGTTCACTCAGGTATGATGTCATTTCAAAGCTCCTTGGTTTTTTTCCTTGAAGCAATGAGAAGAATGAATGATCTTGCAACTTTTTGTATGATATGGGTTCTTCTGTTAATTTTATGACTATTTTGAAAAAGAAAAAAATAGTTCTTGCAGGGTTACAGAAGTGTGGAGTCTTCACCATTGGAGAGCAATACCAAATCTGAGTTATTTGGCTGCCCTAAGTCTGATATTCCTACCAAGAAACTTGATATGTTGCCAACAAGGAAGATCTTAGAAGTTCAAGATACACCGTCATACTTGGAAAATGGATATATCATCTTATTGGTTAGAGTCAGACCTATCACATATCGAGGGAAACCATCATCTCTAATATCGTCTCTACAGCCTATAACAATCATAGTGTTCTTCAAAAGAATTTGGAGTTACCTACCTGCAAACTATGAGAGAGAAAACTGACCTCCTTCACTGATGGTGACTCAACTTTTGGCTTTCCATTTGCGAGACATGGATCTTTTCTACCATTTAGAGTCACTTAGTGAAGATGTATATGAAGGTTCATTGGGTGGTTCACATTACAGAAGCCTTATTAACTGCAATGAAGACATGCTAGACATCCATGACCAGCGATCTTTCTATTTCCAAATATCTCGGGACAAAGATCAGGTGAATCCCTTTCTATTAAATCCAGCCTGGGCTAAAGAACATATGATAGACTGGTCATAATCAAGTCAAATATGCCTTTGATGTGGTCCTTGCTTTTTTACAATGTCCACAGGCTTTTGAAGCCTAAATGATGTTGCAGTCTTTCACTCGTTGGCCAACAAATGCAGTAGCTAATTTTTTTTAGTGAATTTAAATCATATTAAAGTTTTAGGTGGATGGAGTTCCTTTAGTCATCTGACAGTAATGCATAGTTGCATACCATGAAAATCATAGGGTATTGAAGATGGTTCCATCTTTCTTATATCTCATATCCGGACTATGAAAATCATAAAGATAACTGATGAGTTTCTTTTTCTAGTAATTACACGTGACCCAGGAATCAATGCCACTGTTAAAACTTGCTCCAACCACATGGCCATATTCATCCGTCGCAGAAAATGCAGGTTGCAGACAACCATAAGAGAAAACTCGGAATCTTGCACCTTAATTGTGGCAGTTTCTACTGTTGATTACCCAGGACAGGTTTTGAGGCAAGAATCAATGATGCATCATGTTAAGTAGAACTCTAGAAAGGGGAAAAATAGAAATATAGATGTTGCAGTTGATGTTAATTCCATTAGTTAGTATGAAATCATAAAGCAGGTTCTGATCATTTCTTATTCTCCCAGTTCTCTCTATCTGTGTATGTATGTACGTACAGTCATTGTTTATATAATCATCGTAACTTGATGGTACATACATTCATTGTTTTGCAGTATAGTACTTCATGTCATTGATATTTAGTTATTAGCCATAATGTTTATAAGACCGCACTGAAAATTTATTTTTTCTTTTACTGGTTTTGAGTAGGGCAGAGAGACGGATCATTGATGAAACTTAATTCTTAGCAGCTAAACTAGTCTGGCATCTACTAAATGTGGCACAGCAACTAGCAGTAAGAATTTTGCTAGAAATACCGTTGCCCATTGTTTGTTCATTGACTGTATGGTAAATAAAAAGGGAAAACATAAGCATTAAAGCCCAAAAATCTTTCTAGGTATACTACCCAGTTCCACTTCCCAAATATCCATCACCAACAGTTGATCTTGTACCTGCCAGGCTGCCAAGCTTGCCTACCATTGCCCATCAATAAAAAAAGTTTTGAAGACTATATAAAATGAGTTTTCAAGTGAAATCATTTTGATTCGATTTGAATTTGATAAAATCTCATAAATATTTTTAAATTATTAAAAATTAATGGAGTTTATAAAATATAAAACTAGACTTTATAAAAATCTATCATTTTTGTTAGTTGATTTAGTTTGACAAAAGAAATTAAAAATTCGAGAATAAAAAAATGTAAAAAGTCTATAAGTTAAAATATTTTTTTAAAGTTTGAGGACTAAAATTATAATTAGACCTATTAATAATACATACATAATGTGTCTTAAAAGTCAAAACTATTACTAGGAAGTAGGACATATAGCTGAGAAAACGCCTAAATTGTCTTGGGCAGCAAAACAAAAGTCCAGAATAAGCAAGGGGTTAAATGGAAAATAAATAAAAAAGAGGTCGTAAATAAAAAAGGGTGAAGAGAAATCATTAACTTATAATTGGTAAATTTTTGGGACTTAAAAGAACAATACTTAACTCACCCCCACGCTCCAACGCTCTCTCTCCCACTGCCTCAACACCCCCCCCCCCCGATTTTCGATCCTCTCTCTCTCTCTCAGCGGCTTCCTCCTCCTCCTCCTCCTCCCTCTTGCGTAATTGAAACTCATAAATGAATCATAATTAAATAAGCCATTTAGAATCCGAAACTCAGAGACTCAGAGTCGGTGGAAAGAGAAAAAGCATTTTTATTTGTAACCAAAACAAGATAAGCCTCAAAAAGCCAAGTTCCATCCCCTTCTCCCTCCTCTCTCAAAGCTTTCATCTTCATACATGCATATTACTGGAACGGAGCCGCCGGTCGCCGCCATGGTTTTCAGGCTCCGGTGAACCTACGGCCACGTTTCACGTGATGTTAGGTTCTTTCTGTTCAGTAAGTATCTCTCTCTGTGTGTTCCTCTCTAATCTAGTCTATGCTTCTAACTCGTACGGGAAACGGCAGCGTTTCCTTGGCATTGTCCGTTTTATGGAGAGCTGAGGAGCACCTTTTAGTTTCACTGTTTCTGGTGTACTTCTCCGATCTCTATTTTTTAAAAAGAATTTATTACTGTTACATAAATGTAACTGCAAAATGAATTTGAAAACTGTTTCTAGATTTGCTTTTCTTTAGCTCTGCAGTTGCTTCAGCTTTTTCAAGCTATTTATTTTACTTTCGATTTCTTACATTTTGTTTAAAATTATTGTAGTTTTTGAATCTCAATGTCCCGTTCTCTGTACTTGATTTAGATATTAATAATTTTATTTATTTGATATATTTTTTCTCATTTTTCATTGAATGCAGTTGATTCCTGACTTCGATCAAATTAGGGTAAAAATTGACTCCTTGAATAGAAAGAATACTTTACAGATTTTTGTTCAGAGGTTATAGCGACGTGTGATGTGATAGTGAGGAAAAAAATATTTTTCTTAATTTTTCACTCTGAAAGAATATTAGATTTGTCTTTTTGCTGAACTTTATATTCATCACACCCATCTAAAATCAAGTTCCCCTTTTCTCCATTTCTTCTTTGCTTTTCAAGCATGGGTGCCTTTTTTTTTGGGGGGGTGTTTAAATTGGTTTCGAGGTATTGAATTGGGAGAGAAATCATGTTTGAATTGTAGGAGTATTGTTTTTTCAGTTGGGACTTAGGATTATAATGTTCCTGCAATTCCAATTAATCTCGAGTAATCATTGAATTAGACTTTTTTTCTTTATTTTTTGCTTTTCTCTTAGTAGCTTTTGATTTTTTTTTTTTTTTGTATTTTAAGGAAGGAAATCTTGGTAATGGATTTGGTTCTTTTTATTTGTGTGGTTAACAGGTATTGAAATGAGTGGGATTCAGCAAAGGAAAGGTATATTGAGAAATTTCCAGGAATGCCTGTGCTCTCATGTAAATGATTTGTAGCTTGAATTTCACATTTTGCCTTTTAGTTGATTTTGATTTATCATTTTTTATGTGGAGAGAAACCTTGGAAATGAATGTGGTAGTTTTGATCTGTGTGGTTAACAGGTGTTGAAATGAATGGGATTCAACAGAGGAAAGGTCAGAATATTGAAAAATTTCCAGGATGCCTGGGCAAGATGGTAAACCTGTTTGATTTGAACTCGGGTGTTTCTGGAAACCGCCTGCTTACTGATAAACCACAACGTGATGGTGACTTCCTTTCCATGAAGAAGCTAGTATATTTTGTTGTTTGTTTTGTTTTTGAAGTTTAACATTTTGTCTTTTGAGTAGTGGGGTTATAACATGGTTACATGATTGTCATTTGTTTCCGAGCATTCTTTTTGCCCCATGTTAATTGAAGCAATTTCAGTACTCTATAAAATGTCATTTGCGAAAGTTAACTTTTGCTTACACCTAATACCTTCATATTTTTCTTACAATTTTTTTAAGGTTTTAGAATGGTTCAAGATAATGAAATTATACTTCAATACCGAGGATCATTTGTTCTAACTCATGTTGATTGCCTAAATGATGCTTGCCTTTTATTTGCCTTTCTATGTTTCTGGTGTTAGCTCACTGGAAGTTTTAAGTTGCAGCTCTCACTCCCCCAAAAATCACTTTGACATTCAATTGTATGCATGAATTAGACGTCAGTTTTTGGTGTTATTGGTTGTTTATATTTATCTTGCTATTTTAACATAGTGCTGGTTGATGGGCAGGGTCCTCACACTCTAGGAGTCAATCTGATGTTGTAAGGATGTTAAGCCCCGCCTTTGGAGATCCGATAGAGGATAAAGTGGTAATTATTGGGCGTTTAGTCTCTGCAGTAGTAATTATTATAAGCAAACTGAAAGGGATTCTGTTTGTCTTTATATCTTCTACTTGAATTATAAAAATAACATTGCATTCTCACTTGTTTTATTTCTTTTTGTGCCCAGATGGTATCTGGGTTAAGGAGAACTTTGTCAAGCAAGAAAGGTAATGTAACACCCATGAAGATGCTCTTGGCCCAGGAAATGTCAAAGGATGTGGAGTCTAAGCGTAACCCACCCAGTGTGGTTGCTAAGTTGATGGGACTTGATGTGCTACCAAGGCAGCAGCATAATTCATCTCCACAAAGATGCCGTTTTAAAGGTTCTTCTGATTATTCTTTGTGTCATTCTGAGATACCAGTGAAAAACTGGGAGCAAGATCAAAGCTTTCCAGAGCAAATGCAATGTGAAGCAAGTCCTTGTGAAGTGCCAAACAAATACAAAGATGTTTACGAAATCTGGCAACAGCTCCCAAGAACAACCTATTCAAGAGATAGCTCTCTACAAAAAGGGAGGTATATTGATGTTGCCAATGAGAATAAAATGGCTCTAGTTCGTCAGAAATTTATGGAAGCCAAACATCTGGTGACAGATGAAAAGCTTCGCCATGCCAAGCAATTTCAAGATGCACTGGAAGTTTTGAGTTCCAATAGAGAGTTATTTCTCAAGTTATTGGAAGAGTCAAATTCCACCTTCTCTCAACATCTCAACAACTTCCAGAGTTTTTCTCTACCTCCTCAAACAAAGCGTATAACTGTTCTTAGACCTTCTAAGATGGTTGACAAAGAAAAATTTGCTGGAACAGGTGACAAGGGTGATAAGCAGGCCAAGAAGCCAATGCAGACAGGTCAAGTAACTAGATGGGGTAGAAATAACATTGCATCTTCTCCTTTCCCCAGTCCAAAAGTTGATGAATATCCTTCCCAACCAACTAGAATAGTGGTATTGAAGCCCAATCCTGGGAAGACTCAGGACATTATCAGAACTCTAGAATCTCCATCTTCCCCTTCACCTAGGATATTACTTGGTGGAGATTTCTATGAGGAACCTAAAGAAGGTGATGCACAAGAATCAAAAGAAGTGGCGAAGGAAATCACTATGCAGATGCGTGAAAATATGATGGGCCACAGTGGGGATAAAACATTTTTTTCTTCTGTGTTTTCCAATGGTTACACAGGTGATGATAGTTCATGTAATAGATCTGAAAACGAATATTCTGTGGAAAACCTCAGTGATTCAGAGGTCATGTCATCAACTTCTAGACATTCATGGGATTACATAAATAGGTTTGCTAGTCCTTATTCTTCCTCTACCTTCAGCCGTGCATCATATTCTCCTGAGTCCTCAGTTTGCTGGGAAGCAAAGAAGCGACTATCAGAGAGATGGTCTATGATGACATCAAGTGGGAGTTCTCAAGAACAAAGACATGGCAGAAGAAGCTCAAGCACATTGGGTGAGAAGCTTGCTCTTTCTGATACAAAGAAGTTGGTTAGATTGGAAGAAGAGGGAAGTAGTAAGGAACAAGAAGCTAGGGGATCAGCTTCCTGCATAGCTGGTACGGAACAAGAAGCTAAGGGATCAACTTCCTGCATAACTGGCAATTTGTATAAAGAAGAAAGTACAAGTGATTCTCCCAAGAATATTCTGAGGTCAAAATCTTTGCCTGGGTCTTCCACGATGTATGGTGTCAGACTTAATGTTGAAGTTTCAGATCCTGAAGCTAGCAACGAAAAAGTTCCCAAAGAACTTATGAAGGCAAAGAGCATGAAGTCATCTTTAAAGGGGAAGGTTTCAAGTTTATTTTTCTCAAAGAATAAAAAAACAACTAAAGAAAAATATAATGGATCTCAACCTACAGATGAATCTCCATCTGTGACTCCTGGAACACCGGGGTCACCCTTAATTCACCCTCGAAATTTTAGCAATGATGCATCTCAATGTGCAAATGACAGTTACATCCAGGAGTGTTTATCTCTTGTTCTGGGTGGATCTGCAAGTAAAACTCCTTTAGCAGATTTGATTGGCACGGGACAGAAACAAGGGATGATCACTGTGGAGGTAGTTCAAACTTAGTTTCTTGGCTTTGCACATGTTTATCAATTGAAGACATCGTGCGTATATGCATTGAAATCAACCTGCTCTAGTTTTTCTGCATTGAAATATGTTGCCTCTCATTTGTTTAATCTAGGAAATAGGGTAGCACATGAACTTCAAATGTCCATTCCCCTAGATCATATTGTTATAACTGTTCAAAGGATTGAGGGTGGTAGTAATATAGCAATTTTTTGAACAAAAAGGGAAAGTATTCACCTTTTTCAGTTGGAAGAACTGATCAAGGGTTGATCTCATATTTAAGAATGTCATTATTTCTATCAAATTGTTTTTGGTTATGAAAAATATTGGTCATAGTTTTAGCAGGACACAAGCACCCAACTTGTTATCAGATATTTTGTGTTCTGTGTTTTCGTATGACTTTAATCATTTCTAAATACTTGGTTACCTTTTGTAGGGAGGTTTTTCTGTAGCAAAACCTTTGATGCCTTCCCATATAAGTGAGAATCAGGAACAACCAAGCCCTATCTCGGTTTTAGAACTTCCATTTGAGGAGGATGAGAACACAATTTCAGAGTCCTCAGGTGGTATCAAACCAGTGCACCTAGGTAAGCTTCACTTATTAAATTTGGAAATTTTTAATTTTTGATTATTATTTTCTCTTATCCTCGATCCTCATCTATAGCCCTTTCTATTAATACAGGAGTGGGAGTGCCACCTAGGTCTAACTTGATTGACAAGTCACCGCCTATAGAATCAATTGCCCGCACCCTCTCATGGGATGGTTCTTACTCGGACGCATCAACATTGTTATACCCTTCAAAACTCTCTTCAGCTTCTCCGAGTACCAATGAGGAAGAACGGGATTGGATTTTATTTGTCCAATTACTATTATCAGCTGCTGGTCTCAATGGTGAGGAGGTGCAGTTTGACTCATTTATTGCCAGGTGTCATTCGACCGATAGCCCATTGGACCCATGCTTGAGAGACAAATACGCCAATTTGAATGACAATGGGCCTCTGCATAAGGCTAAGCAAGGACAGTGGAGGTCAAACAGGAAGCTCGTGTTCGACTGTGTCAATGCAGAATTACTAGAACTCACGAGCTATGGATCAGACAGTTGGATGAGAGCTATGTCATTTGGCGGGGCCCATATGAAAGCAGAGGAGGGTGCATCACCCATGATGGTTGACCATGTATGGGCCCAAATGAAGGAATGGTTTTCCGGAGAGGTGAAATGTTTGGTGGGGGACGATGGGGACAGCGACAGCCTGGTGGTGGAAAAAGTGGTGCAGAAAGAAGTAGTGGGTAAAGGGTGGGTCGATAATATGAAATTGGAAACAGATAACTTGGGGAAAAAAATAGAATGGAGGTTGCTAGAAGAACTTGTGGAAGATGCAGTCATTGATTTAACCGGTAAGTTCTGAATTTTTTTTTTTGTTCATTTACCACCCCTTCCACTCTTAGACTATTAACTATACATTATTTGTGAATTTGATTTTGAAAAATGACACGATCGTAGCCAGCTTATTTGTTGAATGCTTCATTTATATAGTATTTAACTATTAATTAATAATGTAGTAACCCCTTAGATGACACGACATCATCTCCATCTTCAAGATCCTATCCCTCACCCATGACTCCATGTCCCTGTGTTGTATGGATGAGAACATTGCTGTGCCGATGGATATTAATGGAGGTGTTGGCATAGTTTTAGGTGTATAATTTAATATTTATTCTCCAATCCGATGTTATCATTAAATGAAGGAGGGATGGCCAGGTTGTTTTCATGTACTTGCAAAAGGACAATTATAGCTTGAGGTGGAATGTGACTCAAAATTTACTTCAATCAGTTGGTGCAATCTTATAGTTGTATATGAAGTCGAATATATATATATATATATATATATATATATATATATATACGGTGGTTAGAACTATAATTAGTATAAGAAATGGAAAGAGAGTTGGTTTTCCAAATCCTACGCAGTATATAATGGGTTCCCTCCGCCCCTAAAATTATAAAGAGAAACACCTGAACCAAAAGCAATATCCTAAAATAATATTTTAGAAGATTGTTAAGCCAAGGACACTATATAGGTTGAGGAGTTGGGTTAATGGATTGGTTGGTCCATTTATGCTACTGTTATTAGATGTTATTAGATATGGCATTTATTAGTACGATGTTGACTGCATACAGTTTGGATTCTCCCTTATGATGTAAATAAAATATTTCTTTCAACTAGTCTAGGACAAATGTCATGCTGATTTTTTAACAGACGACTATATCGAGATGTCTTTTATGGTCCGTGTTGATTTTATTATTTACTGATCGTGTTGAGATTTCATCGGTAATGTTCATTGATTTCTTATCTTTTACTTGTCGATCATGTCTAGATATCCTCTGCGGTATGTGTCAATATCTTATTCACAAATCGTATCAAGATATTTTTGACGATCCATGCCAAATTCTTATCCACTGACCACGTCAAGATATCCAATACGATCTGCACCAATTTCTTATCTTCCAACCGCATTGAATTTTCCTCTTCGCATCATTGACATTGCATGTTGAGGCTCGATATCTACATTGCCTCCTAAGGCTTCACTCTAACATCACTTCTTATGGCACGACATTGCCTTCTAAAGCTAGATTCCAACATAAAATTTACAAAATTTAATGAGAGTGACTAAAATAAAAATAAAATCAAATATGAATGATTAAAGTGAAACTAACATATAGTCATGGTGCTCAATAACTCCACCGATCTATCTCTCTGCATATGTATACTGAATAACTCCTCCGAAACTCCGAACAACACTCATTGGCCCCATGCAACTGAAAAAAAGTCTTTCATCATTAAAAACCAGAGGAAAATACCCACACTTCAAAATCCAGTATAAAACCCTGTATCATCATCCCATCATTCAAACACAAACCCTTTGGGGGAAAAAAAGAGGTTCAAAACAGAACCTCATTGTCTCTCCAATAAAGTCAAGTCCTTGGTTTTCGTTAACCTGGTGATTGTAATTGCTACTATGGTTTCACCTGCTCCATTAGCCGAGGCTCGAGCCTTCTTTGTTTTTGGTGACTCACTCGTTAATAATGGCAACATTTACTTAGCCACTACTGCCCGTGCTGATTCTCCACCATACGGCGTTGATTATCCAACGCACAGACCGACAGGCCGCTTCTCCAATGGCTTAAACCTCCCTGGCATTATCAGTATGCTCTACATTTTTAATTTCATATGTAGTTTTCATTTGTAATACATGAATTTCTTTTAAATTTTGTGCTTAGGTGAGCAAATTGGCTCGGAGCCTACATTGCCTTACTTGAGCCCTGATCTCCGTGGCCAAAAACTACTCGTTGGTGCCGACTTCGCCTCCGCCGGGATCGGTATCTTAAACGACACTGGAATTCAGTTTGTAAGACCACTAAACAAATCTCGAAGCATGCCACACTCGAATATATAAATCTCTAGATTTATGTAACAACAATTATATCGATCGAGTTAAAACCGAATCAACAATGAGATACTGTTATTTGGCCTTTTTAGGTCAACATAATAAGGATGTTCAGACAATTTGAGTACTTTCAAGAATATCAGAGAAGAGTTACTGAGATAGTAGGACAACAACAGGCACAGCGGCTAGTAAACCAAGCACTGATTCTCATCACACTAGGCGGCAATGACTTCGTTAACAACTATTTCTTGGTACCTCTGTCAGATAGATCACGCCAATTTTCTCTTCCGGAATACTACCGCTATCTCATTTCCGAATACCTGAAAATCCTCCTGGTAAATACTCGTAGCTGACTATAACAATGCTTTAGGAAAAGTTCGTATAACATAGATTAAAACAGCCTAATCCGATACGATTACAGAGATTGTATGAATTAGGCAGTCGGCGGGTCCTGGTGACCAGTACCGGACCATTAGGCTGCGTCCTGGCTGAGCTAGCCATGCGGAGCAGGAACTGGGAATGTGTGCCGGAGATCCAACGAGTAGCAAACATATTCAACCCTTTACTTGTCCCGTTAATCCAACAACTCAACTCCCAGCTCGGTTCTGACGTTTTCGTTTCGGCCAATGCCTTTTCAATGAACATGGACTTCATCTCCAACCCTCAAAGATTCGGTTTGTTCCTCTGCAAACAAAAGCATGTTGTTGTTTGTTTGACAAAAGCATAATAATATGCAGTCACTTATGGTTTGTTTTACAGGTTTCGTGACATCAAAGGTAGCATGTTGTGGACAAGGACCCTACAATGGACTAGGATTGTGCACCAGATTGTCAAATCTGTGCCCCAACCGCGACGTCTACGCCTTATGGGACAGTTTCCACCCGACTGAGAGAGCCAATCGCTTCATCGTTCAGCAATTCATGGTAGGATCTACTCGGTACATGAATCCAATGAACCTAAGCACCATCATGGCCATGGATTCAACCACCTCATAATATATATATATATATCTTGATAATTTGGATACAATATCGGTATCTTATGTTTTATCGTGTTATAATTATGTGTTTAAAATAATTTATCTTTATATAAAATTTGGTATTTTAATTATATAAAAGTTAAGATTATTTATATTTGCATGTCATGTTTAATAAAATTATTTTATTTAATTATGGAAGCGTGAATATATAATTGAAACATCTAATTAAAAAATCTTAGCTTGAGATGGAGTGTTTATCAAGCTAGTCGATTGCGAGCGAGATAGTGTTCGATTTGTGCTCGTTAAAAAAATTGATGTTCAACTCAACTCGTTGCTCGTTAAGCTCGTTAAATTTGTACTCGACTCGAGTTAAATCAACATAAATTAAATACTGACTGAATTATGATCGAATTAAAATCGAGTAGCTCACAAATTACTCAACTCATTAAACATAGTTAACTTGAGATATGTCCTCAAGGGGTTGTTGCGTTGGCTTTGTCAAGAAGTTAGGCTTTTTTTGTTTTTTTTTTCTATATGCCTTTTCCCAATCAAATCATGCATGCTTTGAATCTAAACCTTTCTAAAACTCCATTTAACGACGATTTGTATAATAGAGTATAGGTTAAATTATTTTTCTTTCATATTTATATATATATTTTTTTGGATAATTTGATTTTTATTACCCAAAGAAAGAGCAAATAACAGATACAACACTAGGAAACAGCCCACCAACAACAAATAAAAAACACTCCCCACAATTGCCTAGGTAAAACAACTCAAAGAAACACTGAAAGAAAAGCAACAATTAACTGCAAGCAAAATTAAGGAGCAACCCGTAAGTAGCCTCCGCTTTAGGAGCATCTCACATGCTTGCAGACGAGAGACCAGCGAAACAGAAGCAAACAACAAGCTAGTCAATGCACCAGTCGAGGCAAAGCTGCGAATTAACCCTATCAGCTTTGTTGATGCTACAACCATGCAACTTAACACTAATTGTCCGTTTTATAGCATCAAAGACCTCATCAAGCACCCGAGAACAGACTCTAAAGTGCCTGAGATTGCGTTCTTCCCAGACAAAATACAGAAGACTAATCCAAGCTAGCTTCAAAATGCAGACTAGCATGGATTTTCCCTTAAAGTTGGTAGCAGCCCATGATAAAGTATCATTCCAGCACAACCCCCTATAGTGAATTCTGCAAGTCTGTAGAATTTTACTCCAGAGTCCAACAACAAAGGTGCAGTCATTAAACAAATGATCCCTACTCTCAACCCCATCACTACAGAGCTCACAACGCCCATCTAGCTCAATCCCCATATGAATAAGCCTATCCTTAGTAGGCAGACGGTTCAAAAAAACCATCCAAGCTACAATAGACATTCTAGGGATATGGAGAGGGAACCATATCAAGTGTTCCCAACTAACATTCTCCTTCTTGTCTCTCAACTTCTCACACACCCAATAGTTTTTAACCAAATTCCAGTCAACTACATTGCCAAACAAACCAGCAGCCTCTATTCGTAGCTTAAGCAACTTCCTCAAGGTCCAGCTGAGCTGAGGTTTGTAACCAGCCTCCCAGAAAGTGGCCCCCTTCAGGGCATATTCATTAACCCAGGCCACCCAGAGAGACCCAGTATTTGCAAGGATATTTCTAATCAGTAAAAAACAACAAACCTTATTCCAGCAGCCCAGACTTTTTAGACCCAAGCCACCTTCAGACTTCAACCAACACATTTGCTTCCAGCTGACTCTAGCCCCCTTGGCAGGAACATCATCCCCCTTCCAAAAGATCCGCATACAGAGTTGCTCAACCTGCCTAATGACTTTACTAGGCAAAATCATCTGCCTACACCAGTAATTGGAAATATTGAATAAAACAGATTGAATGAGCTGCAGTCTGCCACCATAACTCAGCTTCAGCTTAGACCACAAAGCCAGCTTACTTCTGATCTTATCAACCAAAGGAAGACAGTCCTTAGCAGTAAGCTTCCTGATAACTAATGGCACACCAAGGTACCTAACAGGAAGTATACCCAGTTTAAAACCAGTAGTAACCTGCACTCTTCTTAAAACATCCTCATGCACACCACAAGAAAACAGCTCAGATTTCCCAGCATTTAACTGTAGCCCAGACATCTTATAAAAGACCTCCAGAACACCAACAACACCCAAAATAGAATCCTCAGCACCGTGGCAAAAAATTAATAAATCATCAGCAAAGCTGAGATGAGTGAGAGGAACACGCTTACATTTAGGATGAAACTGGGTTAACCCTTCCTTGGCAGCAACGTTTAACAAATGGGACAACACATTCATAATAAGAACAAAGAGATAAGGGGACAGAGGATCACCCTGCCTAATTCCCCTCTTCCCTTTAAAGAAACCCACTAAACTACCATTAAATGCTACAGAATATCTAGCACCAGTGACACATGCAGTGATCCAATCTCTAAACCTTCCTGGGAGCCCTAAGGAAGCAAGAACATTCATCAAGAAGTCCCAAGACACAGAATCAAATGCCTTCCTTAAGTCAATTTTAAGAGTGCACCTTGGGGAAAGGGAACTGCGGGAGTAGCCCCTAACAATCTCTTGAGCCAAGAGCGTATTATCAACAATACTACGCCCTTTAATAAAAGCTGACTGGTTTGGCAAAATCATACCAGGGAAATAGCAAGCTAACCGAGCAACAATGATTCCAGTGATAGTTTTATAGACAACCGAGCAACAGGATATAGGACGAAAGTCTTTAGCCATACCAGCATTTGGAGTCTTAGGCACCAAGGCAATTGCTGTAGCATTGAAGGCAGGAAGTAGAGTTCCGGTCTGAAAAAAATCTCTAATAGCAGCCAGAAAATCTTCATGGATAATATCCCAAGCCGTCTTAAAAAAATATGCTGTATATACATCTGGACCAGGGCTTTTTTCATTACCTTGCCTGAACAGAGAAGCTTTAATTTCTTCATTAGAGACCTCATTGACCAATAAAGCAGCAGCATCACAAGGAAGCTCATATCCCAACAGACTCTTTAGGAGATCAACACCGTAGCTTTGAACACCAACATCCTCAAAACCAAGCAGTTCAGTGTAAAATCTCAACATCTCAGCAGACATAGCATCAAATGAGTCCAACCGAGAACCATCTTCAGCGTAGAGCAATCTAACAGTGTTACTCTTTCATTTCCTCACTACAATAGAGTGAAAAAATTTTGTATTTCTGTCTCCCTCTTTCAACCAATGGACTTTAGCTTTTTGCTTATAAAAATAGGCTTCAGCCACCTCAAGCTCCTAAAGCTCATTAAAGAGAATCTTCTCATCATCTAAGTGACAACCAGCTTGGGAAAGATTAGCAAGCTGTATCTGCTCAAGCTGGGCTATTTTGGCCTTTACCCTACTTGAAATGTCATCAAAATGGCTCCTGTTAAACTGCCTAAGTCTCAACTTAAGCCTTTTAAGCTTAGCAAAAAGGTAGAACATAGGGGAGCCAGACACGTATAGCTGCCAAGACTCTTTAACAACACTCTTAAAATCTCCATGATTAACCCAACAATTGAAAAACTTAAAAGGTTTGGGCCTGTCAGCCTGGTTATCCTTGAAAAAAGAAATCACAGCAGGATAATGATCAGAGACCCCCTGAGCTAAAAACTCAACAAAGGAATTTGAGAAATCTTCAAGCCACCGAGCATTAATAAGAGCTCGATCCAATTTACGAGCCAAAAAATTCCCTGCTTGCTTATTTGACCATGTATAGAGATGACCCACATAAGGATGGTCAAAAAGCCCCAAGGATAACATACATCTCCTACAAGCTTTCATTTCAGCAGTGACATAAGGCCCAAGGCTCTCAAAGTCATAGCTTTCTTCAGCATTGATGAAAATGTTGAAGTCACCTCCTATAAGCCATGAAGCCTCCCCAACTAAACTTTCCACCTCTTCCAACTACCTCTAGAGGTGAAGCCTATCAGAACCATTGTTGCTTCCATAGACTGCAGTTAGGACACATCTATGGCCACCAATCTCACCAACAAAAGACAAAGATTGGTCAAAGACTTTCAAGACTGATAAGGTAAGAGCTTTTCTCCAGAAAATCCACAGCCTACCATTGTCAGAGTACTCATGATTTGTAAAACAATTCCAGTCTGAAGAATAACACTCAACCAACTTGCACACATTAACAGACCTCACATGGGTTTCCATAAGGCAGATAATGTCTACTTTGAGCTTGCCCATTCTAGCAAAAACTTGCTTTTGCTTTAGGGGGTTATTAAAGCCCCTAATATTCCAAAAACATATAATCATTAAGCATGGTTGGCCTCCCCCCCAACAGTTCCAGCTACTGTTCCAACAACAGAACTCACAGACTTATCAACAAGATCTTTCTTTTTATACTTCATTTCATTTAGGAGCACAGTAACACCCATGGAAGCCGCACGAGGCTTCCTACCTCCTTCTAAACCAGCAGCTACCATCAAAACCTCAAAACGGTTAGAAGAGCTAGCAAATTACTTTTTAGCTTTATTCTTGACCTTCTTTTTCTGAGAAGAAGCTTGCAAAGGAGGAAAATCAACTGCAGGCTGAGCAAACCCCTTATTGACAACATTTGCTTCATTGACCAGGTCCACAACCAACTCATCAACCTGAGAATTCACCCAATTATCCAATCATTCTCCAGTAGGTCGACAAGGCTCCTGCAAAGCCTCAATTCCACCAACAATAGGAATTTGAGAACAATTGTCCTCCCCACAATTCTCCAACCTTTTTCCAGAAAGTTCATTATCTACCTGTAGGACCTTTGCACTATCAACAGGAGCAGGAACAGGACAATTTACATCCCCTTTCTTCCTCCATACCTGAATCACAGCAGGTTGGGGCATGTGCACATCAGGACAAACCTTCTCACTATGCCCAAAAACATTACATCTCTGACAGCAAGGAGGAACCCAGGGAACCACAACCCTAGTCGAGACAGCAAGTCCATCCTGCAACACAACATCTACAAATTTTGGGATGGAATCTCTCAC